CTCTCTCTCTCTCTCTCTCTCTCTCTCTCTCTCTCTCTCCTCTCCTCTCCTCTCCTCTCCTCTCCTCTCCTCCTTCTCTCTCCCTAACCCCTTCCCCCTCCCCTTTCCTCTTCCTCTCCCTCTTATGATAACATTATTAGAATGAACCTCATCAATCTCAAGAAGCATCTCTGTGTTTATGTATGTGTGAGTAAATTCAAAGACATTTATCAAAACATATTTATAGAGGCCTTGGCATTTACCTACCTATTTACTAATTTCAGCACTCTTCATGTCTTCAGTTAGTTCCTCTTACCGTCTGGTTCACTTCCTTTCAGACAGAATGCCCTTCTATGCCCTAGTGGCTGCTGACCAGTGGCTGGCCACTGAAAGGATTGCAACCCTAGGGCAGTAAGCATTTAGCTGGGAAAATCACTTTAGTGTGCATCCAATCCTGAAGTTAAAGAAGTATTTGAATATTATATGAGTAGTCTAGCTATTCCTGAGGCTTTGCTTTGGGCAGTCACTCAGTGTTAATGCCACCAACTGACCTGGGAAGACAAGATGTCTTCCTTTTTTCCAATCATTGTAATTTCCCCACAACAGCCTTCTAACTGAGGAAGCAGGAGATATTTTAAAATGCATATGCAAAGACCTGCTTCAAGTTATTTCAAGTTAAGACACATGGGGAACATTCAAATAGAGAATTCCAAGGAGAAATAAACATACAAAGGCGTGGGGATGCATTTTTGCTTCCTCATCTTGTAGATTTTAGTTGTTACCATGACAATGGAAGAGATTTCTGAGGCAAAGAAAAAAGGCCAACTAATGATCCATCGGTAATTAGGAACAAGGTACCAAGACACTTTAAAGAGAATAATTAAAGTGGGATCAGTGGGGCCAAGGAGATGGCTCAGTAGAATAAGCACTCCCTGGCAAGCACAAGGGCCTGAGTTCAATCCCCAGTTCTGCATAAAATAAAATAAAATAAAGTGGGATCAAATGTAACTCAGAAGACAAATTGCATGGGGTGGAGAGAATTTGGGAATATAAACTTTTCCTCTAATATCTGTTAGATAAGGAAAGTTAAACTAAGAAGAAAAAAAAAAAAAAACACCACAGAAAGAAACAGGATTAATGGACTATGGAAAAACAGTTCTGGGAGAGAAAGAGATCTATGACTTGTGGAAAAAGCTCCAAGTCAAGGATGTATGTGGCATAACATTTAGAAAGGATGTGTTTGTTCACAGGGAAGGAATGTGCCTGTATACGTATGCATGGAGAGGAGAGAGGAGAATCAGGTTATTATAGAAATCATCATATAAATATGTCACAGGAGTAAGTAAACATCCTTAATTAATTTTCAGGTTCCAGAGTTCAAGTTACTATGCTGAACTATGTCAACACTTCTCACCCAGGCAGCTCCCAACAGCAGCACCACAATGGCTCCCACCTTCCTGCTGATGGGCATGCCAGGCCTATCAGCTGCACCATCCTGGTGGACAATACCTTTGGCCACTGTCTACCTCCTCTCTGCTGTGGGCAACGGTACTATCCTTTGGATCATTGCCCTGGAGCCCTCGCTCCATCGTCCAATGCATTTCTTCCTGTTCCTGCTCAGTATATCAGATGTTGGTTTGACCACAGCCCTAATGCCCACCTTGCTGGGCCTGGCCCTTGCTAATGTTCGTGCTATTCCTGCCTCAGCCTGCCTCTTACAGATGTTCTTTGTCCATGTCTTTTCTGTCATGGAATCCTCCGTCCTGCTGGCCATGGCCTTTGATCGGGCACTGGCCATCTGCCGCCCACTCCACTACCCAGCAATCCTCACCAATGGTGTAGTCAGCAGGATCGGTTTGGCCATTGCTTTCCGATGCCTGGGTATCCACTTGCCTTTGCCCTTTCTGCTGGCCCACATGCCATATTGCCACCCACAGATCCTGACTCATTCTTATTGCCTGCATCCAGATATGGCCCGTCTGGCTTGCCCAGGAGCTCGGGGCACGTTCTACAGCTTCGTAGTGGTCCTGTCAGCTATGACTTTAGACCCCCTGCTTATTTTCTTCTCTTATGGCCTGATTGCCAGGGCGCTGCACAGTGTGGCATCCAGTGAGGATCGCTGGAAGGCTGCTCAGACCTGTGCCGCTCACCTCTCTGCTGTGCTCCTCTTCTACAGCCCTATGATTCTCTTGGCCTTGGTCAACTGGCTCAGGCTGCCGCTCCCTCAGCCCGCACACACTCTTCTCTCCTATGTCCACTTCCTGCTGCCCTCCCTGATAAACCCTGTCCTCTACAGTGTCAAGATGAAGGAGATTAGAGAGAAGATACTAAAGCACCTGCAATGCGGGAAGGTGAGCTGCGCTCGGTGAGAAGGATGACTCTGCACACGTGCTGCAGAGGGTGCCTACTACAAGGGCCTCTATGACTGAGACCTCAGTTTGTAACACATAAAGTCATTCAGGTAAACAGTCGCCTATACTTGAATCTATATACTTGTTCTTAGGAAGGTGCATGTGTGCATCAATGAAAAGAGTCCAAGGGAATCAGACGCCTCACATACACACACACAGACAGACAGACAGACACACACACACACACACACACACACACACACACTATTTCACTACATGTCAATGACATATAAAGCATCAGACTAGGATTTGTCGCAGCCATCCAAGTATGTGGCTGTGAGTTCCCTTGCAACATCTATAACTTAATAACTGAAGAAAGTAGAGGAATTAAATATGGACGCAGCACAAGAAAGAGAAGATGGTAGCGTTCTGTCCAGCTGGAGGGGCGACTCTCCCACATAGTGCACCTTCACAAGAAGCAGTATTCTGACTGATCCTTAGGGGTGAAATGGAAACTGCATCCATGTTCTCATTTATGGTCTTCAAACCAAGATACAGGTCATTTAATTCATCATTCAGGAAAAGGAAGAAGAAACATAGATATTTTTATACTTTAAATTTTTAGTTTAGTTTAGCTTATTAGTGCATTGTGCAGCACACAGTGTGTGCATCCCTGTGTGGAGCCAGTGCATGTACCTGGCATATCATAATTCCTGTTTCACCCCCTTTCCCAGTGCTCGTCTACCCCCATGCATCCTCATCTCCCCCTCCCTCTAAATCTTCTTCCTTTTGGTCTGTACACATGTACAGTACATAATGTTTACACTCCCTGTGTGCAGTAGGTGCATATAAATAACACATCTCAATCCCTTTTAATAGCTTTAAAATGTTAAAGTTTTGAATACATGCACATTTACTGTTAAAATTTCACATGATTCAGATAAATGGAATGAATAAACATCACCTTACATGACATTTTTCCATACTTAATCACAACCACCTTTCTGATGGACATTCATAAGTATAATGTTTTACATAAGTAGACTGTTAAATATGATATACAAGACTATTGATATTTTTTAAGACTACTGATATTAATCTTTACTTCCTGGTAGTTACAACGTCATACCTCCACACCTATGTCATTAAGATCAGAGCTGGCACACCAGACTTGCTTTCACCATGACTCTGAGCACACACATATGATTTGTTCTTTTCAGAAAGCCCTCATGATATGTTTTTGGATGGTAATGGATGCAATAAAAGAAGGAGTTTCAAAACTATTTCAGCAGATTTTGATCTTGTGCTGAAGTATTTTTTCCATAGTAGGCTCCATGGTAGGCTCTGCTTTTTCCATAGTAGGCTCTGCTTCTAGCCTGTTCTCCATGCCTAAGCAAAAGCCACAGCCCGGCGCCAGTCCCTGCCGCCAGGACTCCTGAGCACATACACCAAGTCAGAGCAGCCCAGGTTAGTGGACAGCCTAGGTCACTGTCCACCTATTGACCAGTGAGCATCACATCAAGTGTGACAATTGAAAACAACTGCAGTGTTCTGGCTGGGATGTTCTGCACCTGGCTTTTCTTATAGTTAAAATCCTTCCAAGTCAGTTGGCATGAATCTATTTCACTGAAATTACTACTTAATATTTGATTGGGTAGATTATAGTTTATTCAACTGTTTTCTATTAATAAGTATTAGAAAGGTCTTCATTTTAAACCATTCCAACTAATGTCTTAAATATTCTTCAATAGTTTCCCACTTATATTGATCTTATTATTTCAGGAATGATCTCTTTGTTTAGTTTTGTCAGAGATATTTAAATATTGTACGTGTGTGATTTTAGCAAAATAATCCAATGTAGTCCAGTAGTTTATAATAGTAGTGGGTTATCTGTAGGACTGGCAATGTCAGAAGTTGTCGACTTGAGTCTTTTACAGCTCAGCATATTCATATGGCTTTACTTTTTTATACCTCATTTTGTACTTTTCTGCTGGATGGTTAAGACCAAGATAAATATCATGTCTGCATCCCGTACTATGAATAACCACTACAAAGACAACAATGTATTAATTATTGAAGCTGTTCTACTAATCGGTTTTGAAACTGTCTCATTACTATTTGTTACTCAATAAAATTTTTTTAAAAAGAATGATTTCCATTTTTTTTCATGTACATTTTTCAAAATTCTAGTATTTTACCCTTCACAAAAGACCATATTAATCTATACTGCTGCACTTCAGAGAAGTGTCTTTTATTTCACATATCCAACAAATTTGACCACTGTGGTGGTCTAAACTTTTTGTCAGTTGTATTAATGATGATCTTGTTCTACTTTATTTTTTCCCTAATACTGGAAATGAATGTTTTATATGTGTCTGTGGATTATTTTGATTTTTCTTTCCTGAGGAATTTGTCAAATTAAACTTCATCCATTTTTCTATTGGTCTGTTTGTGATTTAAATACAACTTTTCAAGAAATCTTAATTTTAAGCAATTCCCATTCTAACTGTGCTTGCTCTTGTTTATCAGCCAACTCTCGAGCAAGTATAGATAACATTACATAATTAAATTCACTCACTTATTTTCCATTATAATTTTTGTGTTTTATGTGTTGCTTAAAAAAATAGTATGCTTGGGCTATGAAGATAGCTGGGCAGTCTAGACACCTGACTGGCAAGCACAAGGTACCAGGTTCACTTCCTGGTACCACATGCCATGCTGGCTCTAGAACCACGGATGCATCGTGCCACTCCTGAAACCAACCCTTGGTGGTGCACGCCTGTAATCTCAGCACTGGGGAGGCTGAGGCAGGAGGGTCACTATAAGTCTGCAATGCGTAGCAAGACCCTATACCAAATAAATAAATAAATAAGCTTGAGCTAGGTGTGTAGATCAGCATACATAAGAACCTGGTTCAATCTCTGGTACAAGAAAATCATGATCATTTTCATCACCAATATTTTGATCTCTACGCTCCACATACAATCTCTTATAATTCTGTGTAAAGTTAAGATGAGTGTGCTGCAATCTCACCGCAAGAGGCTGGGAGTTTCAACACCAGCTTAGGCTATGTCACCAGTTCAAGGCCAACCTGAACTAAAGTGTGAGACCCTGCCTCTAAATAGATAAATTTATAAATGTGTCTAAAAAAATTGTAATAGTTTTACTTTTAAGTCTTTCTCAAAGACCAAAATTATATTAATCAATAGTTATATAATTGTAGTAATCACAAATACATACTGAGAGAATTATCTGTAAAATTCATTCTTTTAGTCTCTCTGAGATAATTTTTTATAAATATATTATATTTTTTTAATTTTTTGAGATGTGCTATTAGTTCAGGCTGGCCTTGAACTCGCTACATAGGTTTTACTTGAACCTGCAGCAATCCTCTGTTTGAGACTCCCAAGTGCTGGGATTACAGGCATGTGCCACCACAGGTGTCAATTCTAGTATTCTTAATTTCTTTCTTTCTCTTTCTTTCTTTCTTTCTTTCTTTCTTTCTTTCTTTCTTTCTTTCTCTCTTTCTTTTTTATTTATTTTTTTATGGTGGAACCAGGGATTGAACTCAGGCCCTTACACTTGCCTGGCAAGCGCTTATTCTATTGAGCCATTTGCCCAGCCCCTAATATTCTTAATTTCAATCACAACCTCAATAGAATGCTTTAAATCTTAAAATTTACCTAAACAAGCAGATTGTCATAAGATAAATTTGAGAAATATGAGCAAATAGTCAATTAAAACAAATTACTAAAGTATATAATAAAAATTACAAAAATTTTCAAATCAGTTTGTAAAATCTCATCATAATTTATGAATTAATTTTAATTAATTCATTAATCTATAAATATAATATTCATTCTTTCCTTGCCCTTGAATTTTGTTTTTATTTTAAATAGAAAAAAAGATAAACAATGAAACTAAGTTTGAAACAAATTAGTAGGACAGTTACAATAGTTGATACGTTGTACATTGTTGTCTTTATATTAGTTAATCAGAATGCAAGATGTAGGCATGGTATCCTGTATAAACAACACTAGCATACAACATTCTTTTCAAGAAACTAAGAGAAGTTAGCTATAAAACTACCTTTAATTATATCCACTTTAAATTATGATATTCTTGCTTAACTTTAGTACATTTGCCCCAGCAAAAAAGTGTGAACATGATACCAATAATTGACAAAAATTCTATTACAACAATATCAGTCAAATAGTTAAGGTTACAAAAATACAATGTAATTGAATTTTGCATTTAATGAAATACTTATAAATAAACAGGGAATTTCAAAGATAGCAGAGGAGCTAGCAGAATTAGTTCTAGGGGCAGAATTCTGACAACACGTATGTCTTACAGGCAGAAACTGACTGCACATTAGAGGTGTTGTTTTACAAGTAGAAACACTAGCTCAGCCCCCAAGTGAAGATGTAGATGTGCTTGTCTCTAAGGGCAAATGAGATAAATAATATATACATTATCTTTTAAATACATGTGTATGTATGTTTATGCACATGAACACACACATCTGTGTGTACTTACAGATTTTGCTTTTCAAATTCTTTAATTATGATATCACTAATCTTTTTAAATACCTTCATAGTATGATTTAGTTAAAAACTGGTATACAGCACTCTCAATACCATTTTAATTAAATAAGTAAAACTTTTAGATTTCTAATAAGAATTATATTGGTGGAATAGATATGAGAATAACCATTAATAATTTTTCACAAGAATGTACAATGCATGTCTTTTGACATCATTTTTATATTGTTCAAAAAAAACTCTTTGCTTAAACTAAATTTACTTTTTTTTAAATTTACTTTTATGTAGCTTATAAATTAACGATTTTTGTTGCTGTTACAAATAAAACACTTATAATTTATCATAAAAACTTTTCATAAAATAACAATATGGGGGCTGGTGAGATGGCTCAGTGGTCTGGAGCACCTACTTAGAGCAAGTTTAGCAAA